GGGGAGGAGACGCAGCGAAGACTCAGCAGAACTTCAGGTCACAACGAAGGAAAATGTTCATCTGTTCATTCTAAAGCCGCTGCGATTCTGGACCCCTGATCCATCCTGACAAGAACAGAATATTTATAGAACACGAACATCTGGAAACCGTTCTGATGAAATCTACCAGAATTTTCTAATTGTAGACATTTTTCTTTTTCCTCAAAACACAAAAACTCAGTGATGCCTGCAGAACCAACTGAAAGAACCAAACAACCAAAACAACCAAAACAACCAAAACAACCAACTGAAAGGGGCGGGGTGGGGTGGGGCGGGGCGGGGCGGGGAGGGGAGGGGCGGGGCAGGGCGGCGGTGGAGCAGGAGCCAATAGGAAACCTGCTTCTGCCCGCGTCATTAGCATATGAATGAATAACAGAACCACCTTTACTTTGGCTTCAGAAACAAAAACATGCCACACTTTTCAGTTTCTCCTTCCACTTCACAGTGAAGGCGCACTGTAAAAAATATTTGTATATCTGACAGCAATAAACCATAAAAATCCATAAAGCAAGATGAAAGCAGAAATTTACACATTTCACATTTTTACATTAATTTTATGGCTTGTTTCCATGGTAACTGTGGAAAAAATAATAATTTTGTCCATTTAGTTAAAACATTTAGTTTTACAGTGAAACATTTCAACCGTAAAATGAACGACGTGAAAACCGTGAAAAAAACTGAATTTTTTACAGCTGATGGTTCTGATGCCTGTTCTCTGTGACACAGAGTCCGGTTCTGATCCGGTCTGTGGTTCTGATCCGGTCTGTGGTTCTGATCCAGTCTGAGGTTCTGATCCGGTCTGTGGTTCTGATCCGGTCTGTGGTTCTGATCCAGTCTGAGGTTCTGATCCGGTCTGTGGTTCTGATCCAGTCTGAGGTTCTGGTCCAGTCTGTGGTTCTGATCCAGTCTGAGGTTCTGGCTGTGTTCGGCCCGTCAGCCTCAGGTGTTTGTGTCTCAGGTTTCTGCTGGATCACAGAATTCTCAGGTTTCGGGCCTGAATGTGAGGATTATCCAGCAGGTGGGAATAATCCTCAGACATTCAGCATTTCTCTGATTAACACAAACAAACCTGCAACGTTCTGGTTCTGGTTCTGGTTCTGGCCAGCTGACAGCTGCAGATTCACTGAACACACTCCGAGCAGCAGCGAGCTGACTCACGGCAGCTTTAAATCTCCTCTCCTCTGCAGTCCGGACGGCCGAGCCGGGTCCAATCAGGGCCCGGCTGCACCCAGAATAAACTCCCTGCTTCCATCAAACTGACTAAAATGATCTGGAACCAGGATAAAAATAACATCTGTGACGGTAAAAAACCTGCTGGGCGTCTGGAAACGGAGAATATCTGAGTTCTGCTGCTGCTCAACGTTTCTGGATGGAAAAGGATAAAAATGTGTTTCAGCCTGAATGTCTGCAGACGTCAGAGCTGATTCCAGCTTTTCACGGCTCTGAGGTCTGTAGACGGTTTCATGGAGTCGTCCTCATCCAGAAAACTGGACCGATTTACTGCCACTGAAGAAACCTAATTATGTCACCGTTGAAACCTTTAAAGCTGACAGACAGGAAACAGAAATGAGCTTCGTTAAATAAAGATTCACTGGTCTTTATGTCACTGTTTTCAAATCAGAATGAGTCACAGACAAGAAGAGCTAACGAGCTAGCTGCGCTAACCCTGACGCGCTAGTCATGAACATTAGAAGATGTGAAGTATAACGTTAACCTGGAAGGTTGCAGTCTTTCAACTGCAGCTTTAATTTAAACTGAAGTTAGCGCATTAGCATTAGCTTCTGTTAGATATCGTGTCAGTGAAGCATTTTAACATTAGCTTCTGCTAATGACAACGTTGGTTTAGCGCCTAAGCTTTAGCAGATGTGCAACATCCTTAGATCTTCTATTTATGTGAAAATTTTGTTCTTTACCATCTTTGTTTTATTTTGTTTTTGTTTGAAATAAAATTATTGGGGGGAAAAAGGAGAAAGAATTAGAGCATGAATATGAACTATAGTCCATAACCAAAACTTCAACATAAATGTTGAAGTTTATTCAACTCAAAGTTTGTAAAACAGTCGGGTAAACAAGATCTGAAATCTGGAAAAGTTCATTTAGAGGAAGAGAAACGTGCTTTTCAAAGTTAGCAAAGCACCAAAGGAAAGATGAGCTTCTCTGTTAGCATAATATTAGCATGTTAGTGAAAGTGTGACTCTTCTGGAAAGATCTGATCTTTTACAGTAGAATCTAAATCTGATTCAGTGAGAATCGGTTTTCAGATGAAATATTATAAAAATGACTGTAAGTTTGACTTAATTAGAAACTTTTCCCTTTATTTTGACATTGGAGACACGTTAGCTTGACTGCACTGATTTCATCCCAGCATTAAACTGTGCAGGCTCTTCGTCTGTCTGAGAACTCAGCGATATTTAACGTCTCAGTCAAGATGGCTGCCAAACCGCCGCCTCTTTCAGACACAGTCAGTTTCCTCTGGAGCGCCTCAGGGCTGCCTGCTCAGCCCCTGTCACATCTGCAGAAGAACCAGCTGGATGATATCAAAAGTTTGACTCGCTTGATTCCAATTCTGAACCAAAAACACAGACTGGACGTCACGACCGCGTCCATGTTTCCAGTTTGGCTCGTCCGCTTCCGGTCCCAGCGGGATCGTCTCCGACCATCTGTCGGCCCGGCGGTCGGTCCGTCTGTCATCTGCTGCTACGCGCTCATCTCCTCCTCTCACCAATCCGTCACCAATCCGTCCCCTGGAGGACGGATTTCTGGGAACCAAAGCTAAAGAACCGTTTGGATGCTGTTGGAAAATCAGCTGAAACCTCCAACAGTTATTTAAATAAAACCTGTTCTCAGGTGGAAAAAGCAAACAGCTTGAAATCTGTTTGAGAGACGAGGGACTGCAGGCAGGAAGCCATGATCGACCAATCAACAGGCTCCACTTCAACCCAAAGAAAGTTAGCTTGAAGGAAAAGCTTTTCTAGAAACAAATCATTTAATTGAGAAAGAATAATGGCCATTCAGCTGCAGTTTATGACTATTATTATTCATTGCTATAAATAATAACCAACCAGGACCAACCAGAAACCAGGAGATTTGGTGGAAAAATCCTGCAGGACGTCTGTCTGTCTGTCTGTCTGTCTCCCCTTAATCAGGTTTCTAAGGTTTAAACCAAAACAAAACGACGGCTCCTCTTCTCTGGCGCAGATTTTAATCTGAGTTTATCTCATCACACGAGATTTACACCAGATGAGGCCAGAAGCCAGTCTGCTGTCTCATTGGCCCACCTGTCTGCACCCAGTCCACCCAGTCCTCCCAGTCCTCCCAGTCCACCCAGTCCTCCCAGTCCACCCAGTCCTCCCAGTCCTCCCAGTCCACCCAGTCCTCCCAGTCCTCCCAGTCCACCCAGTCCACCCAGTCCTCCTGCAGGTTCTGCTGCATCAGTTTCTGGGTTGAAAACAAACAGTCTGCACCCGTCTCATAGTAACCACACCTAACAGCCCCAGCAGCTGCAATCAGGATGGAGCAGCAGGATACTGCAGCACCATCCATCCATCCATCCATCCATCCATCCATCCATCCATCCATCCATCCATCCATCCATCCATCCATCCATCCATCCATCCATCCATCCATCCATCCTACCTGCCGCCTTCTCCTTCTCTTTCTCCATCTCTTCCTCCGGCCTGCTGCTGCTTCCTTCCCGGTCAGCTGATCCCAACAACAGGCGTCGGTTCCCGGTGAACGAGTCCGCTGCGGAGGAGGAAGAGGAGGATGAGGAGGAGGAACAAGGCGCGGTGTTTTTCCTCCTCCTTCTTCTTCTTCTCCTGTCCTTTTTCCGTCTCCCAGTCCTCCTGCCTGCGGACGTTCGGGCTCGTGCGTTTACCTGGAGCAGTCGCGCGCAGCTCCGCTCTCTCTCTCTCTCTCTCTCTCTTTCTCTCTCTCTCTCTTTCTCTCTCTCTCTCTTTCTCTCTCTCTCTTTTTCTCTCTCTCTCTCTCTCTCTCTCTTTTTCTCTCTCTCTCTCTCTCTCTTTCTCTCTCTCTCTCTTTTTCTCTCTCTCTCTCTCTCTCTCTCTCTCTCTTTTTCTCTCTCTCTCTCTCTCTCTCTCTCTCTCTCTTTTTCTCTCTCTCTCTCTCTCTCTGCACGCGCCGTTCTGCTGCAGCCCGAGACAGGAGTGACGTCACCACCGGAAGAGTTTTTAGGGTGACTAAATCATGATAGGCTTGGGGTTAGAGATCAGTACCCGTCCCAGACTCTGCTGCACATGCGCAGACGTTTTCACAAAAGCAGTTTCTGAAATGCTCTAAAGTTTCCAGCAGGGCCGCATGGGGCCGCCTGGGGCCCTGGGCAGGGTTTAGGGCCCCTCTGCCTGCTGAAGCGACAGTTTACTCATTAACAAAAATATTACAAAATGGAGTTAAATGCGTCACCATGAGACAGATGATCTGTGAAAGGATGGACCAATCAGAGCCAAGGGGAGGGGCTTAATGCTGCCAGTCTTCCTCATGTACTCACTGCTAAATGTGGTAGAGAAACATCTTAGCTGTTTACATCAGTGGCTAACAAGCCTAGCATTCAGGACAATTTAGTGAAAAAGCAGCTGGAACGTAGCAGAGAGCAGGGGGTTCTGAGCAGCGTGTACATATGGATGACTGACAGCACTAAGACCCACCTCCTGGCTCTGATTGGCTGTTTCTGATGATGGTTGTATTTCTACAGTTAACTGATTTTTTTCAGTGCTGTTCTGAAAACATAATCGATTAATTATATGGAGTGAAATGAAATACTGAGTGGAATCATGACGGCCGTTAGGGTTCGGGTTAACTCTAACTCTAACCCTAACGGGTTAAGGTTAACCCTAACCCGAATCCTAACGGGTGAATCTTCCGCCAGGAAGATTCAACACTTAATAAAGATTTGTTTTCAGTTTATTTATGTCAACTTGAGAAAATGAAAATCATTGCAGTAATTGATCCTAGTAATCAATCAGTTTATTATTCAAATTAGTTTAAACCAGACCAGAGGTCAGAGGTCGATAAGCGTTCACCCCTCTGCAAACGGACCGGAGTTTACAGACAGATGGACCGGAGTCGGGTTAAAGTGGCTGAACTGGGCTGGTGGGAATGAAGCCTGAATCGCTGAGAGGTCAGAGGTTGCAGGCTTAAATACTGGAATAATTCCTCTGTAAATGTTCTGTTGATGTGAAATTCAGTGAAAAAGCAGCTAAAGTCCAAAACAAGTCTGAAGAAAGTCCAGAGCAAATGAGGTTCAATCTGGATCACAGGACGGAAAAGCAACCGAGACGTTCTGGTTCTGTACAGCGTCAGGCTTTTCTCTGAGCGTTTTGTACTTTCAGCATGTTAGGATGATGGATGGTTTCCCGTTGGCACGGCGACGAGCTCAGCAGCAGGACGGCGAGCAGGTGGAGGACAGGTGGAGGACAGGTGCTGAGACGACAGGAAGCTGGAGGCCAAAACAACTGAATCAGGACAAAACAGGAAGCAGAATCAGAGACAGGAAGTAAGAAACTTTAGGACTGAAGCTGAAAAAACGAATAAAAGAATAATGATCCGAGAATAAACACATTAAAATAAGAGAAAAAATGGACAGAACATCTTCAGGCGCTGCTGCGCTCACTGCTACCCCTGGCGGCAGTCAGAGGAAACTACAGCAAACAGAACCAGAGCAGGAACCAGGTCACGTGTCTGCTTTTAAACCAATCAGGAACCAGGTCACGTGTCCACCATGTATGAGAAGTTTTCCATTTCCTTTAAAAAATCAGAACCAATTTACAATAAGCATGAATAGTTTATGAATTCATCTGAAAACACTTTAGAAATCACTAATAACTGGTTATTAATGATTAGTGAAGGTGACCACATGTTTACAAATGGTTGTATTTGAAATGTTTACTATAAAATGACTATTTACTAAAAAACCATTAGATTTTTCTCCTTCTCATCCACATTTCATATTTTCCTAAACAATCCTAACATTTGTTTTCTTGTCTTTTCATTTTTTGTCTCGTCTTTGTAATAAAACATGGTGCAGGTTAGGGAACATTTTCCCATAAAGTCTATTAAAAACGGAGATCCACAGGGTTCAGCTCTAGTGCCTCTAGTTTTAGCCTTATTTTCTGTATGTATAATAAAGTTTATGTTCATGGAAACTAAATGAAGATTCGGTTTCCAACCTGAAACAGATCTCAGTGGATAGTTCATGGAAAATCTGCTGAAATCTTCATTTGTTACGTCTGGATTTAAAAATCTCAGTTGGTTCTGAGTTGGATTTCAGAATCATAAGGAGCTTTAAAGGAGGCAGCGGTTAAAAATAAACCTTTCTGGTTAAGTCATGACTTATGAATAAGAGGAGAGGCGGTGCGTTCAGGTGAGACGTGTTTATGAGGACTCTGGTGTTACAGTGCAGGAAGTTCTCAACCATCTGAGCTCAAAACAAAAATCCATCATCAGCAGGAAGCAGCAAAACACAGAACAGAAAGAATCACAGCCCAACAGGAGACCAGGTCAGAAAACACCGACGACATTTCCACCGAGCAGGAGAGTGTGTGTGTGTGTGTGTATGTGAGTGTGTGTGAGTGTGTGTGTGTCTGTGTATGTGAGTGTGTGTTAGTGTGTGTGTGTATGTGAGTGTGTGTGAGTGTGTGTGTGTCTGTGTATGTGAGTGTGTGTTAGTGTGTGTGTGTGTATGTGAGTGTGTGTGTGTGTGTGTATGTGAGTGTGTGTGAGTGAGTGTGTGTGTGAGTGTGTGTTAGTGTGTATGTGAGTGTGTGTTAGTGTGTGTGTATGTGAGTGTGTGAGTGAGTGTGTGTGTGTGTGTGAGTGTGTGTTAGTGTGTATGTGAGTGTGTGTTAGTGTGTGTGTATGTGAGTGTGTGAGTGAGTGTGTGTGTGTGTGAGTGTGTGTTAGTGTGTATGTGAGTGTGTGTTAGTGTGTGTATGTGAGTGTGTGAGTGAGTGTGTGTGTGTGTGAGTGTGTGTTAGTGTGTATGTGAGTGTGTGAGTGTGGTGTGTATGTGTGTGTGTGAGTGAGTGTGTGTGTGAGTGTGTGTGTGTATGTGAGTGTGTTAGTGTGTGTGTGTTAGTGTGTGTGTGTATGTGAGTGTGTTAGTGTGTGTGTGTTAGTGTGTGTGTGTATGTGAGTGTGTGTTAGTGTGTGTGTGTATGTGAGTGTGTGTTAGTGTGTATGTGAGTGTGTGTTAGTGTGTGACTGTGTGTGTGTGTGTGTGTGTGTGTGTGTGTGTGTGTGTGGCACTTTGATGGCTTCAGGGCCTCTGAGTGAGTCAGTGGAGGAGCTGTGCAGCTCAGACCTGGAGTGTCTTCATGCTACGTGTCTTTGTGTACATTCACTAATTGCACTTGAGGATGAGGATATGTGGAGACGACGTAACCGGCCCGACGGCTGCAGGAGAAGCTTCTTGTTCTGGTGCTGATGTTCGCCGACGTGGGAGCGGGTCGGCCGGGAAGCGGCCGGACCCGACCCGTCGCTATAAACACAAAGAAGCAGCTGGAGACAAGAGTTAGCTTATCAAACAGGAAGTTCCTGAATCATGTGACCAGCGGAGAGCATGTGGAGGCAGCGACCTGCGACCCTGAGCCGATGCAGGACCGACTCTTCCACTTTCACACAAACCGGAACCAAACCCAGAAAAACTCATCCAGAACCTCCTAAACCCGAATTAAACCGGTTCTGTTCTGAGAGCCGAACGGATATCAAACTGGGTCACCGGTTCTGGAGAAACAGCTAGAAGAGAGCCGATAAGATGTAACTCCAGGGTCAAAGGTCACTCTGATACTGAGGATAAAAATGCATCAAAATGTTTCAAACGATTCGCTGATGTTTGTTTCATGAGAATGATGAAACATGAGGACGTTTGTGGATTCGTCCCATCAGAACCATAGGTCAGTTTAAACGGGTCAGATCTCCACCAGAAGCTTCTGACATTCAACGTTTAAGAAAACTTTGGTACGACTTTTAGATTTAGCTCCAGTTTAAAGCTTATTAATGAAACGCAGGAAGTCGCCATGAAACCGCTCTGGTTTTGACTCTGCAGGCGTTTTTTCCTCTAATATTCTGACATTTTCTTATTGAATTGCTTGTGACAACAGCACAGTGTTGTGCTGGTACCGACTGACCCAACTGGACGGTTTCAGGTTCGGTTCTGCTGCCAAAGACCCGATGCGTTTCTAGAAACCGCGGTGTGTGATGGGAGGAGCATTCTAACGTTAGCGTTAGCATAAACGTCCCAGAACTTCAGGTAACTTAGTGAAACTTTTAGAGCGACGGTGGGAGCTTTGGGCTAAAGGTTTCTCTTTGCAGGAGTCAAATGTGTTTTATTTCTGTTTGGTCACCAGATGGCGCTGTAGGCGCTGCGGCTCAACAGTTACTGGACGTTCTGCGTCTTATGGGAGCTGAATAAACTGGTGATGCTGCAGCAAAGAAGTGCTGCCATTTACAGCTGCTACAACGTTAGCCGCACAGCACGCCCAAACCAGGCAGCTGCAGGGCAACACGTCTCTGCTGCACACCAGCAGCACCAGCAGCACCAGCAGCACCAGCAGCACCAGCAGCTCACCCTTCTCCACGTTTAACGCCTATGAAAGTGGAAGAGGTCAGCGTCCGTCTGAAGCTGCATCGGCACAGCGTCGCCCCGCCACTCCATTTAGAACCGGGACGTTCACAATCAGGAGGAAAGGAGGTGATTTTTACATTCTGTGCAAAATTAGACGAAAAGTAGCCCACAAATTAACATCAGTATGTTTTCCGTCCGTCTACACTCTTCAGTCAGTTTTTCTTCTACTTATTTACAGTTAGTTTCTAAGACTTTAGTACCGCCGTCCCCCAGCAGGGACGAGACATTCCTCAGAGGGCCTGAATCCACCGTCACAGGATCTCTGCCGGGTCCACTCCTGGTTCCGAGACAACACAACAACTTTCAATTATTCTCTCAACAACGCAGCTTTTACATCTCCAATCCAGAGAACCCAAATAAACCCGAGTTACTCAGGAAGTTGATGTGTTTGTCTCTTTTCCAGGATCCCTGATAAGTATCAACATTTTTCCAGGACCAGCATTCGGACCATGCGGTGGATTTCAGTCCCTTCCTTCAGTTTTAAGAACAAGCTGTCAGTTTAAAAGGCATTGAGAAGGTAGAAAACACAGGGCACACAGTGAAAAACCCGGGCAGGGGAGTAGAAAAATAAAACTAAAAATAAGAAACTGTGGCAGACGACTAGACAATTACTTCACTTTGTGGCAGGAAACATAAAAAAAGTAAAAAAAAGAAAGTTTCAGAGGCGGGGCACCGGGTGAAGGACAGGGAGGGGTCGGCCCAGTCTCAGAAGAACTTGTCGTCGATGCGGAAGTGCGGCCGCGTCACGTCGTCCGGGTTGATGAACACTGAGATGGACTTCCCGGGATTCTCCGTCACCAGCTGCTGCAGCTTCTTGGCGAGCCGATCGTCAGGCTGGTTCTCGCCGCCGGCGTCGGACTGCGGCGACGGCAGGTTGGTGGAGCTGCCTCGCCACTGCACTTCCACCGTCAACCTGTTGGCGGCCTTGGCGTGCTCGATGGTGGTGCGGAGGTGCTCGGCCGGGTCAGAGCGCACCGAGGACAGTTTGCGGGCGTGCAGCACGGCCGTCTCGTCGGACAGGTGCTCCAACATGTTGCACTGAGGAATGAAGTAGTTGGGACACATCTTGTTGACGAGGCAGTGCTGCAGGTCGTCGATCAGGCCCAGCAGGAAGTGGGCGGAGAAGTCGTCCTGAGCCAGATAGTTGGCAGGGAGACGGTCGCAGGCCCACAGCATGATGCTGCGCAGATGGTACGGACTGATGGCTTTGGGTCGGGACAACAGCTTGATGATGATGGCCTTGCAGGCCTGGTACGCCTGCATCAGGCTCGACGAGATGCACTTCTTCAGCTGAACCTCGCTGCGAGCGAACGACAGCCGCCACTCGTTCTCCTTGCGGCCTTTGTGGGAGCAGGCGGGGACGAGGTAGAAGCCGCTGATCACCTCCTCCTCGGTGATCTTCCCGTCCCAGAAGTGGTTCTCCATCAGCCAGCTCTGGGCCACCGCAGGCCAGCCTTTAAACGACACCACCGGGACGATGTCGTAGAGCATCCGGCTGCTGCCCACGCCCAGGATGACAGAGATGATGGTCCCGTTGCGATCCACCTTCTCCACCCTCGGCATCCCTCTCTGTGGCTTCTTCTGCACCTCCAGCAGCACCAGAGAGATGGACTGGTAGAACCAGTCGGCCACCAGCGTCGGGGAGAAGAAGTAGTTGGTGGTCCCGTTGATGTGATCGACGATAGTGCAGCAGTCCTTCCACTTGTTGATGGTTCCTTCGTCAAAGAGCCGCAGGCTGAGCCAGGAGTGGCCCAGCGCCGAGTGCCGCATGTCCAGGGTCACCGGCTGGTTCCGGTCGTGGAGTTTGAGCGCGGGGACCAGTAGAGTGAAGTCCATGTCGTAGTCTGTGCCGCGGGCGTAGACGCTGAGCTCATCCAGGTCCATGTCCACCACGCCTTCCCGAACGCCTCCAGAAAGGAGCAGGTACTCGTTGGCCACCGGGAGCTTCTGGTCCAGTTTCTGGACCATCCCTAAAACCGCAAGAAAGAACCAATCAGGAAAGAGCTCATCATGCACAGAACAGAGTCCAACTGCAACACGCCCCACCTGTCCAACCAACCACCTGAAACCTGCTGCAGGTAAAAACAACAACAGGAGAAACACAGTGACATGATGTCACTGATCCTGTGACTGATGGACAGCTGCCCTCCGACCTTCTGACCCCCACCAGCAGGCAACGTGTCCAATCGCAGGCCAGACGGACGGGCCGGCGTCTCAAACCGGCCACCAGCGGGTCCGAGGACGGGCCAAAGACAGAACCAGAAGGAATTTCCCCTTTGGTTGAATATTTGGGTCCAGCTCTGCTTTTGGAGCCGTTTCTCTACAGGCGGCTGGTGGCCCCTCTCTGGGACCCCCGATGACTCTGGACGGTCATTGTGTCCGCAGACGGACGGGATTGGTCGGGTCCGGAGCTGAAAGGACTCCAGGCTGCTGAATGCATTCCAGCGCTGCGGTGAGGCGGACCGACACTGCCGGCTGCTTCGGATGAAAGGTCAGAGGTCAGTGCAGGAGGCCGAGTCTCATTCTAAATCAATAGTGGCTCATTAAAACGGTTGTCATGCCAACATAGTTTTAATGTCCTTTTGCTTTTTCAGCCAGTAGTTTGAATCCTGGACAGAAAGAATCTGTCCAGGATGGACGACGCAGCTGATCCAACGCAGGCTGAGAAGGTCAAAGGTCACAACAGCAAAAACGTGAGGCGGCAAAGACAAGTCAGTCCTGAAAGAACAGAACCGGTCCGGTTTGTCCTCAGGACATAAACATTTACCAATTATTTATAAATCTTTACATGTTTATGCACAAAGATGTTTAAATCCCAAAGCTCTGCGAGCAGCGAGGTGGACCCGGCAGAAACTCACTGGACCAGCAGAAACTCACTGGACCCGCAGAAACTCACTGGACCCGCAGAAACTCACTGGACCCGCAGAAACTCACTGGACCCGGCAGAAACTCACTGGACCAGCAGAAACTCACTGGACCAGCAGAAACTCACTGGACCCGGCAGAAACTCACTGGACCCGGCAGAAACTCACTGGACCCAGCAGAAACTCACTGGACCCGCAGAAACTCACTGGACCCGCAGAAACTCACTGGACCCGGCAGAAACTCACTGGACCCGGCAGAAACTCACTGGACCCGGCAGAAACTCACTGGACCAGCAGAAACTCACTGGACCAGCAGAAACTCACTGGACCCGGCAGAAACTCACTGGACCCGGCAGAAACTCACTGGACCCGGCAGAAACTCACTGGACCCGGCAGAAACTCACTGGACCAGCAGAAACTCACTGGACCCGCAGAAACTCACTGGACCCGCAGAAACTCACTGGACCAGCAGAAACTCACTGGACCCGGCAGAAACTCACTGGACCCGGCAGAAACTCACTGGACCCGCAGAAACTCACTGGACCAGCAGAAACTCACTGAACCCGCAGAAACTCACTGGACCCGGCAGAAACTCACTGGACCCGCAGAAACTCACTGGACCCGGCAGAAACTCACTGGACCCGCAGAAACTCACTGAACCCGCAGAAACTCACTGGACCCGGCAGAAACTCACTGGACCCGGCAGAAACTCACTGGACCAGCAGAAACTCACTGGACCCGCAGAAACTCACTGGACCAGCAGAAACTCACTGGACCAGCAGAAACTCACTGGACCCGCAGAAACTCACTGGACCAGCAGAAACTCACTGGACCAGCAGAAACTCACTGGACCCGCAGAAACTCACTGGACCCGGCAGAAACTCACTGGACCCGGCAGAAACTCACTGGACCCGCAGAAACTCACTGGACCAGCAGAAACTCACTGGACCCGGCAGAAACTCACTGGACCCGGCAGAAACTCACTGGACCAGCAGAAACTCACTGGACCCGGCAGAAACTCACTGGACCAGCAGAAACTCACTGGACCCGGCAGAAACTCACTGGACCCGGCAGAAACTCACTGGACCAGCAGAAACTCACTGGACCCGGCAGAAACTCACTGGACCCGGCAGAAACTCACTGGACCCGGCAGAAACTCACTGGACCCGGCAGAAACTCACTGGACCCGGCAGAAACTCACTGGACCAGCAGAAACTCACTGGACCCGGCAGAAACTCACTGGACCCGCAGAAACTCACTGGACCCGGAGAAACTCACTGGACCCGGCAGAAACTCACTGGACCCGGCAGAAACTCACTGGACCAGCAGAAACTCACTGGACCCGGCAGAAACTCACTGGACCAGCAGAAACTCACTGGACCCGGCAGAAACTCACTGGACCCGGCAGAAACTCACTGGACCAGCAGAAACTCACTGGACCCGGCAGAAACTCACTGGACCCGGCAGAAACTCACTGGACCCGGCAGAAACTCACTGGACCCGGCAGAAACTCACTGGACCCGGCAGAAACTCACTGGACCCGGCAGAAACTCACTGGACCCGGCAGAAACTCACTGGACCCGGCAGAAACTCACTGGACCCGGCAGAAACTCACTGGACCCGGCAGAAACTCACTGGACCAGCAGAAACTCACTGGACCCGCCTCGGATCCAGTTTCCCAGAGCAGATCTTCAACACATTTGGTGAAAACAGAACCAGGACTGGAGTCTCAGATCACGAGTCCAAGCCGAGTCTGGAGTCCAATTTCACCAAAGAGCGACTTGAGCGGCGCCTCGAACTGAAGCACGGTGGAGGAGGGATGGTGCTGTGGGTTCACCATGAATCCATCTGAACCGGTTTGTCTGATCGACTCTAGATTATGAATAATGAATGAAGTAAGTATGGATTAAGTTCAGTGTTTGAAATGAAACTTTAATAAAAACCAAACCCAAAGAACCGAACCGCAACACAAAACCAGGCCAATCAGAAGTGGATTCATGACGCTTTGTTTTGTTCTGGGCCCACATGGAACAGAGGTGTTGGAGTGGCCTAGTCAAAACCTGAACCTGTCTGAGCTGCTGGGACCTTCAGAGATCCGGCAGAAAGCCGGTTCTGATCCGTCAGAATCAGGAGGATTGTGTTGTGAGGAATATTAATCTCTTCTGGGTAAAAATAATCCATCAGGACGCAGAACTGGGTCGGTTCCGGTCTGGATGAACAATCCAAACAACCGGCAACATCAGATTAAATAAAAGCTTCTGCTCCCCGTTGGTCGCTCAGTCAGAACCGACCCGGTTTACTGCTCCAGGTTCTGTTCTGGGTTACAGCTGAAGGCAGACCGCAGAACCAAATGGTTCCGGTTCCAGGTTCTCTCTGTCAGAACACAGCGGGCCGCCCGGCACCGACCCACCGGGCCGACCCGACCCGACTGCTGCAGCAGTAAATCCTCCATCTGCATCTTTTTTTAGCATCTTTCTCTAATCCCCTCTCAGCTCAGCGCTGGGCGGCACCGCCCGGACCGGTCCACCTGCAGCTGGGAGAACCTGAGCTGGGAGAACCTGAGCCAGGTTCTGCTGGGACCATTTGGATCCGATCAGAAACATACAACCCGATTTCACTGCGCCTGGCGGTGGCAGCGTCATACTGTGGGGCTGGTACTGCAGCAGGAAGAGAAACTATCAGCTCCAAACTGAATATTTAGCTAATATCCATTTTCACTTGGTGATAAGAGGAAGTGGACTATCAAAATAAAAGCTGGGTGTAGACTGGATCCTTCCTAGAGCCGTTTCAGCAGATTTTTTGGAAACGTCTGGTTACCTTTAAACGCTTCATTCTTTGTTTTTAACTGAAAAGAGGAAAAGAAACAGGAAGAGATTCAGATTCAGAGCTTTTATTTTGGTAGTCCACTTCCTGTTATCGGTAAGTGAACTTGTACTTGAAAATATTTAGCTCTGAGGAAAATGTTTAGCTTCAAACTAAATATTTGGAACTAAATGTTTAGTTAACCTACTAAATACTTAGTTTGAAGCTGAAAATGAAGTTTGATAACTAAATATTTAATTTGGAGGATTTATTATTGATGATCTCAACATGCAGTTTGCTAACTAAATATTACAGTATTATGTAAATGGACTAAATGTTTAGTTTGAAGGTAAATATTTTGCTTCATATTTCTCTCTGCTGTTTGTCATTAATGATTTATTTTAGTTGCTACATTAATTATTCAGAAATGCCTGAATCTGAAGTCTAAATGTTGTTATGAATTATCTGTCTGTAAATGTTTGAATCTGAATTATTCATAATTCAGTTCATTTCTTCACGTTTTCTTGTGAAGGTTGTGTAAACTGTGCTGGATAAATTCAGGCAAAACAAACATTTTTAAAAATCATGTTATTGAAATGAAAATATGAATAAATGACAAACATGAAAAATGAACCTCATGTTATTTTTCTGGCGGCTGGATAGAAAACATGTTTTAGTTCAGCCAAACTAAAACATGTTTGTTTTAATGAATTCATTTATTAACAGTTTAATAAACATCTACCAGTTTCATTTCACTGTAAAACAGCAGCAGTTAAATCAGTTGATCTGTGTTTGAACCAACATTTACATATTAATGACGTCATTCTGCGATTATTTGTGTTCATTTGTAACTTTATGACGGGTCAGCAGGTCAAACCTGGATCTGACCCCAGATCTGCAGCTGCAGCAGGTTTGCATGGACCAACAGCTGAGGACCTGATCCCGGATCAGCGGTCCTGATGCTGCGCTGCAGAGCATCATCCAGCTCAGCCCGCTCGGTTCGGTTCGGTTCGGCTCACCCAGCATGGAGAAGATGAAGTCCTTGGCCGTGTGGATCTCCAGAGCCCGCTGGTCGTCATACTCCCGCTGGTCGTGCTTGCTGAACTCCTGGATCAGCCGGTTCAGGTCCTCCATGCGGGCCGCGGACCTGAAGTCCAGCTCGGGCCCGGAGCCGCCGGGCGGCGGCCGCCCCGCCGCCGAGGCCGTGGGGCTGTTCCCGAGGCTGCCGGCCGAACCGGGCCGACCGGAGAGCGCTGGCGCCGCCATGGTTCCTCCTGCGGTTCTCTACAGCTGCTGCCGCTGGGCTGTTCTGGGCCGAACCGAGCCGAGCCGAGCCGAGCTGCACCAAACACAAGCACCGGAAGCAGCTGTTCCGCCTTCACAATAAAAGCCCCACCCACCGAGAAATGAGTTTGGTGAAGTTCATTCAACTTCTGACATCATTTAATGTCTAAACATTACGTCATCAGACGCAGCAAAGCATAAAGTGAAGAGGAAAGTTTGGTATTTAAAAACAAAATAACTAAATCAAAGGAAAGAAGATTTTTTCTAAATCAGTTTTTTCTATATAAAACTTTCATTCAGACGGTTGAGAAAAATACTAAATATTAAAATGACTAAAGTAAAAATAAAAAAGTAGAGTGCAGTAAAAATACTTCTAAAAGTAAGTTTTTCAAAAAAAAGTTGTTTAAGTAAATGTAGTTAAGTTAAAGTAAGTAGTTACCTAATTCTGGGATTAAACTGATTGAAAAATGAACATTATTAACGATGCAATAAACCAAAATGGAAATTGAAGTGAAGTAATGTATTTATATTCCTTTTATTAGCAAATAATCAAAGATGATGGGATGTTTACTAATATTTACAAAATATATACATACATTTTCATCTACCTGATCATTCAATGTGCTATATCTTCTTATTCAAAAAATAAATGCTATTATTAACTTTTTGACAAGAAAATTACTAATAAAATAAAAAAAAAATCAGAGACAGTAGCTGTAGGGTTACACAAAATATACATATTAAAAAAATAATAAAGTGAAAAATAATTTAAACTAGTGTCTCAAAGAAACACTTATTGAGGTTCACATTTAAATTGAGTTTATTAATAATATTGATGATGATGATGATGATGATCATCATCATCATCATAATCTTTTTGGGAGTTGGGGGGGTTTAATGTGTCAATTCTCTCTTATTTTGAAATTGCAGACGGATGTGATGTTGTGTCTTTATGACACTTTTTATTGTTTTGTTTTTGTCTGAATGTGCTCTCTCCCCTCCTGTCCGCCAGGTGTCGCTGTGACCCTCGCAGTGGCTGCTGGGCTCGGTCTTCCTGACCCGGTAGTGGCGGACCTGCCGGTGAACAGAGGACTCGACATGGCCTGGAGGAGCTGCTCAGTCCTCTGCAGACTGACCGGAGGAGACCCGTTCCTGTGCTCCGTGAGAGGAGGGAGGTCAGTCAGCGTCCTGAGCCGGCGGGAAAGCAGCCGGTCCCAGCCAGCGGCTCACTGAGCTCTGCTGTGTGGAGTTAGCATCTGTTAGCATGAGCTAGCATGAAGGACAATCAGATCCAGCTTATTGGGTTAATAATAAAGTTAGCTACTGCTGCTAACTGCTGCTTGTTTGATTCAGTTTTCAGTTAATTTGTTTAAATTAAAACATTTCGTTTATATGTTACTGAAACATAAAAATTCAAAGTGAAGACCTTGTTTCATATAAAAATTATTGTGATAACGAAGATATGTCATTTATTTCCGGAGTAACAGTTAGCATTAGCATGAACAGTTCTTCCCATTCCTCTAGACCTGCTAATTATTGCAATTATAATTATAATTAATCAAAGTTGATTTCTCCTTCATGACGTCACCAGCCACCTAACAGTTTGAGTATCTTTTCTTGAAAGCAGATTTGCATAAAAATATAATTTCCCACTATATATTACTGCATTATAACAAAACTCCAACATTAATAAAACAAAAACACACTGTGAGAGGGGGACTGACAGTTTTATTGTGATATTTTGTTGGTTGTAATGTGATAACAATAAAAGTGACAATAAGAAGTATTTATTAGTTATAGGTAGCTGAACAGTCGACACCGATGTGTAACACGCTTCTTTACGACACCATAAAAAAGTTTATCTGTGTAAATAAACTGACACAGTAACAGCATTTAATTACATTTTCACATTTTTTGACTATTTATTGATACTCAGTTATTGAACAAAGAGTAGATAACAAAGTAAAATGAAAATCCTGACAGTTTTGTGGAGTTTTAAAAGACACTGATTGGAATTTATCATAGCGATAAATCAGAATATTCTAAGAATTTTATTACTATGAATGACAACTGATACAATAAAAGTCTGCCCCTAATTATTAAAATTATAAAATATGAAACATTGAAAACCAATTAACAGCATTTGGTTTTATTTTTTGTCCCGGTGCTTTTAGCTTTTAGCCGATGCCTGGAGAGCAGAGCAACACCCACTCAGTGTTTATCATTCAGAATGGAGTAAGTCAACATGCTGGCCATGCCACACAGCATGTATGCTAAACTTTAGCATTTATGCTAACCTTAGCATTGTTGGTAACCGTAGCATTTATGCTAACCTTAGCGTTGTTGGTAACTGTAGCATTTATGCTAATCTTAGCATGTATGCTAACCTTAGCATTGTTGCTAAATTTTAGCATTGTTGCTAATTGTCAGCACCAGTCGCCCTGATTGGCTCAGATCAGAACTTTGGTTCCTTTAAATTTAGAAATCTAGTTTTTTTTTTTATTCTGGAGATTGTTTACATTTTAAAAGGCAAACTCCATTCTAAAATATAAAAAGTATTATTACGATTAATTACAAAAAAAAGTTGGAAAAAGAAAATTTCTTAAAATTAAATTAAAGCTAAATGCTAAACTAAAAACTAAACAATTGAAGCCAAACAAATCCATTTCGTCCTGTTTGTGTGATTGGCTTCCTGCTGTTCCCTGTGTGTCCACCAGGTGGCCAGGTGGCTTCCAGCAACGCTGCGGCTTCAAGAAAGCGTCCAGAACGCCAGAACCCAAACAACCGGAACCCAAACAGCCAGAACCCAAACAGCTGGAGGGTCTGGAGCTGCAGAAGTGGGCCCCGCTCCCCTCACGGGTCCCGGGTCCCCAGCAGGCCCCGGGCCCTCACCGGGCCTTCAGCCGCCTCATCAGGCCCTTCTTTTTCACCGTGGGGGTAGGTGGAGCTTGATGACCTCATCAGTGATGTCACAGGTCGCTCTAACTCCTGGTCAGTTCTCAGGCTGCTCCTTCGGCGCGGCGGCCATCTGGCAGTACGAGTCGCTCAAGTCCCGAGTCCAGAACTACTTCGACGAGCTGCAAGCTAATTGGCTGGAGAAGCTGCGGCCTCAGAAACAAGGAGACCTCCGTAAGGAGGTGAGTGGGTCAGGCCAATCGGGTCGGGCCAATCGACCTGGGAACCTGCTGATTGGCTGCTTTTGTTTCAGATCAACGAATGGTGGAACAGCCTGACGGAGGGCCAGAAGACAGTGGCAGGTGAGTCCAGGTAGAGCTGCAGCAGGTAGAGCTGCAGGTCAGCCATCAAGTTCTGACAGGAACAATCCAGAAACAGGTGTGGGAGGGACGACGTTAACAGAAAACATTCATGGAGAAAAAACATCTGAATCTGGGATTAAATCTGGGATTAGATGTAGATAAAAACCAGAAGAAAAAGATTTTACTCTAGTTTTAGGTTGTGGTTTCTGGAGCTCAGAGATCGGACCAGAACCGTTTCCTTCTGGCCGGTTCTGGAGCAGAACTCTGGTCGGGTCCAATCAGACTCAGAGACGCTTCATTAATCCAGATTTCCTCCTCTTCCTCAGGGATCATCTTCGCCAACATCCTGGTGTTCTTGGCCTGGCCGCTGGTGCCGCCGCCCATCATGCTGCGCTACTTCACCTCCAACCCCGCCTCCTGTGAGTCGGTCCTCAGGGTCAACTGCTGATCAGATTATCGATTATTGAAACTCGTAGTCATTGATGAATTATTAAGAGTCGGCTGAATGGCAGTCAGTGACGCAGCGTGTCCCCTCAGCGTCCCTGTGTCTCCCCATGCTGCTGTCCACCTTCAGCCACATGTCCCTGTTCCACCTGGCGGCCAACATGTACGTCCTGTGGAGTTTCTCCAGCAGCGCCGTCTCCATGTTGGGGAGGGAACAGTTCCTGGCCGTCTACCTGTCCGCCGCCGTCACCTCCTCCTTCTCCAGCTACCTGTGGAAGACGGCCACAGGACGCTGCGTCCCGTCTGTCGGAGCGGTCAGTTCTCTCTGTCAGTCAGTGCAACGTGTCCTCCTGTCCAACGTGTCCTCCTGTCCAACGTGTCCTCCTGTCCAACTGCAGTCTGGCGCCATCATGGCCGTCCTCGCCCTCGTTTGCACCAAGATGCCTGAAGCCAAACTGGCCATCATCTTCCTGCCCATGTTCACGTTCACCGCCGCCAACGTACGAGGCCCCGCCCACTTCCTGTTGCAGTGCTGACCCGGTTCTGCCCCCCCGCCTCACGCTCTGCCCCTCCCGTTGTCTGCAGGCCCTGAAGGCCATCGTTGTCATGGATACCGCCGGCCTGCTGTTGAGGTGGAGGTTCTTCGACCACGCCGCGCATCTGGGAGGAGCTCTGTTCGGGATGTGAGTTCCTCCAGAAAGAAAGTTCCACAAAATAAAATTCAGCTTTTGGGAATTTTCTGTTTCAAAAGTTAAACTGTTTTTGACTTTTGAAACTCATAAATTTCCAAGTTTTTCTTGTAGAAAATTTCTGAGATTAATCTCAGGATTTTTCAGTTTTTTTCTAGGACATTTTCCAGAAAATTTGGTTCTGTTGGCGTCGTTTCCTCTGTGTTGGTTTTGGGCTGTAGTTCCCAGTCTGACCTGAAGGGGCAGCGCTGCGTCGCTGTGGGCTTCTGGCCTGACCTGCCGCTCTCTCTCCTCAGATGGTACATCCTGTTTGGACACGAGCTGATCTGGAAGAACCGCGAGCCGTTGGTCAAGCTGTGGCACGACCTGCGGACCCAGAGCGGCGGCCGGCCCGGTGGGCCCGGCGGCGCCGTCTAGGGACCACGACCGGGACTGGACTGTAGAATCATGTAAAGCTGTATAAAACTACAGCCAGCGCTCCACGTTGGGAACCTGTGGGTCCGTCTTCTGGGTTCAGACCGATCAGAACCGCTGCTGGTCGGGTTCTGGTCCGGTATTTCTTCAACCGGATGACGTCTGACTCGGCTGAATGGCTAAACAGAAACTCCAGGTCCTGATGGTTTATAGAAAAAGTCATATTTCTAGTTTTCTTTGTGGAGCTGAAGAAGAGTCAGCCAATGAGAGGAGGCGGAGGAGCAGCGATCTGATTGGCCGACGGCTCTTTATTATTTCTGTCAAATAAATCTCACTGCGCCCTCTGGTGGGCTCTTTATGAACAAAAGAAACCTTTATTTTTGTAATAACTATGTTGTTTATGAGATTAGCTCAAGCTGTTATCAGACAACTGTAATTAGTGATCACTAATTTATAACATATTTACTCGCAGCTGACTATTGAACAAACACATTCACTTGTTTATTTCTGTCACAAAATGAGATTTAATCAAATTAAGTTTTTGTTTTCTTTCAAACATACACAATGAAACACAAAAAGAAATAAAAGTTTGTTGATGGTTCAGATTTTAGGACAGATCATAGAGTGATGTTCATTTCCGTGCTCTTATTTTGAAGTTTGGCTCTATTAAACTGAAAAGATGAGTCAAAGTTAGCTTTCTAAAGCGCTAAAGTTACAGGAAGATGTGTAACAGCAGATTCAGACCAGCGGGGGGCGATATACATCAGACATGGCGGGTATCAAGGTGGATGAATTTAGCATTAGCTTCCACTAACTAGCATGTTGGTGTAGTGCTGTAGCATTAGCTTCTACCATGTTGATGTACTGCTTTAGCATTAGCATCAGCTGGTGTTGGTGCTTTAGCTAAACTAATGTTTATAATAACTGCTGTAGTGTTAAAGTGGCTAACTGCACAGCTAACGTTTTAGTGATTTCCATCACTGGTGAAAAAGAGTCTGAACTGTAAATGTTTCTGGTTGAGCTGCTGGTTTAAACCGTTAGACTACGGGTCCCCGAAGTGGGTCCCTGGTGGGTCCCCAAAGTGGGTCCCTGGTGGGTCCCTGGTGGGTCCCTGGCGGGTCCCTGGTGGGTCCCTGGCGGGTCCCTGGTGGTCCGGTTGCATCCTGCATGTCTTTGTCTCTCCTTGGTACCAACAACTTGTTCAGCAGGTCAATGTTCTTCTAACGAGCCTCATTGGATCCAGGTGCGTTAAACCAGGGAGAGACTGAAACATGCAGGATTAACCGGCCCTAAAGCTCCAACGTTTCAATACTAAACTCAGCAGGCGGTTCGGCAAACATGGAGCCAGTTTGATAAACAGGAGTCTGAAGTCCACCAGCGTCAGAAAGCAGAGGAACGTTTCTTCTCTCCGATCTGCTGCCACAAAACTTCCTGTCAGAAATGCAATGACTGTCAGAACAATAAACTCATTCTGTCTGGTTTTAATTTGGTTCTCAGGGTATTAAACAATTAGTGAATAAAGCTTATCGATGGTGTGAAGTTGAAAAAGAAGCCAAAACAGTGTTGACTCTGTCAGAACCTTCAGAACCAGCAGAACCTCAGTAGAACCTCTTTAGAGCCAAAACCAGAGGTCAGCGTGGGAGCTGCTGGTGGTGAAACTGGGATCCCTGACAGTCGATACTGGTGTGTGTTCAGCCTTTCCCAGAGTTCATCGACCTCCAGCAGACCGCGATCAGGCCGGGTTCCCACAGAGACGCTTCAGAACCGGCCGCGGCGCCGCAAAGCAACAGAAAACCTTCGTCAGTCCTGAAACCTGAGCACAAGGTAAGAAACAACCCGGCATCGTTTGGGTCGGCTCAACAGAACCTTTCAGGGCTGCAGTAGAGACGGACGTGTTGCATTCATGACCCGGGTTCAGATCGAGTGAAGACCAAAAGCTCAGGCAGTTTCAGGACAAACCGTTCAGTGTTAGAAAGTCTTTACCTGCTTGTCCCCGTCTCCTGGTCGTTATGTTCTGTCATATTTACTGTTGGACATAATGTTGGGGACATTAGACACAAGTTGACCGAAAGATCATCAGGTCTGAACTTGTTCCTACCACCATGGAGAGATTTAGTAAAAAATAGTTATTATGAAGTCAGAGGACCAAGCGTTCCTGCTGCGACGCAGCGGCAAAGACAGGGGGTTTCAACCGACAACCCAGCAGGTGCAGGACAATGCAAAGCGTCGTTGATCTGATGGAGGTTTCCGGATGAACTCGCTCAAAGATTACTGACTTTGACTGGGCCATGACTGGGTTGCCGGTTCAAACCGCTGCTGAGTCTTTGTGTCGTTGGGCAAAACACTCCCCCTACTGGAACCATCGGCGCCGGTGTGTGGCAGCCTCCACCAGCAGGCTGTGAATGGATGAATGTCGGTGAAAGTGTTTGGATTCCTCTGGACTTGATAAAGCGATACACAAACCTTAAAGGCGATAGCACCCTAACTTTAACAACTTTTAAATTAAAGGCATAGAGGACCAAGAACGCCACCCTGAGGTACCCCAGAAACCAACATCTGCAGAGGAAGACCACAGCTGCTGAGTCCCTGCAGTCCTTCAGGTGTCTCTGCGTGGACATCGGTTAGCATGGCGGTGTGTCTCCAGGTTCTGGGCCTGGTTCTGGGCGTTGTGTCTTGGTGCCTGCAGTCCAGCTCTACGTCCTCTCACACTTGGAAGATGCGCAGCCAGGCAGAGACGGTCACCACCAGTTCGTGGCAGTTCGAAGGCCTGTGGATGAGCTGCGCCGCCACAGCGCTCGGGTCCGTTCAGTGCAGCAAGTTCAAGACGGTCCTGGGCCTCGACTGTGAGTAAAACCTGAGCTTTCCATGATCTGACCTCCTCCAAAATGTCGTAGAATCGTAGAATTTCTCCGGCGCTCCTCTCTGGTGGCGGATGGGTGCCAAAGTCTCACTCTGAGACCTTCCTGTCTGTCTGCAGCTCACCTGCAGGCCTGCAGAGCTCTGATGATCTTGTCCCTGATCCTCGGTCTCGCTTCCATCATCGTCTCTATTCTCGGACTCAAATGCACGAAGATCGGCCAGATGGCGGAGCAGGTCAAGGAGCAGGTCGCCCTGAGCGGAGGCATCCTGTTCATCCTCTCTGGTACGAAAAGTCTGTAGAACCTGAGGTCCAGATCGGTCTGTCAGACCGGACATCTGGACCGGTACTGCTGGCTTTACATTGCTCCATTTCATCCTCCAGGCGTCTTCACCCTGACGGCCGTCTCCTGGTACGCCGCCAGAATCATCAACGAGTTCTATGACCCGTTCCACGCCGGACTGAAGTCAGTGACCTGGAGACGCCTCCGTATCGCCCTGTGTGTGTGTGTCTGTAACTCTGTGTGTGTGCTGCAGGTTTGAGATGGGTACTGGTCTGTACCTGGGGTGGGCGTCCTCTGGTCTGGCCATACTGGGAGGATCTCTGCTATGCTGCAGCTGCAGGCGGAGCGCCTACACACCGCCTCCGAGGTAAACTCCAGCAGGCCGCAGCACTGCGTTGTGTCCAGTTGGGGCACTGTGACAAGCTTTGTAGGCTGTTTCTGACCTCTGACCTCTGCAGGCATTTCTCCTACCACTCCAGTGGCGGTCAGAGCATCTACAAAGCGGCTCCGTCTTCAGAGACCAGCAGCTCCAAAGCGTACGTCTAATCCTGGCAGCCGCCCGCGACCTGATGAGCCGCCGCCTGAACCCAATCTGAACCCAATCTGAACCAATGTGAACCCAATCTGAACCAATGTGAACCCAATCTGAACCCAATCTGAACCCAATCTGAACCAATCTGAACCCAATCTGAACCCAATCTGAACCCAATCTGAACCGAATCTGAACCAATCTGAACCAATGTGAACCCAATCTGAACCCAATCTGAACCCAATCTGAACCCAATATAAACCAATGTGAACCCAATCTGAACCCAATCTAAACCAATGTGAACCCAATCTGAACCCAATCTGAACCAATCTGAACCCAATCTGAACCCAATCTGAACCCAATCTGAACCAATCTGAACCAATGTGAACCCAATCTGAACCCAATCTGAACCCAATCTGAACCCAATATAAACCAATGTGAACCCAATCTGAACCCAATCTAAACCAATGTGAACCCAATCTGAACCCAATCTGAACCAATCTGAACCCAATCTGAACCCAATCTGAACCCAATCTGAACCGAATCTGAACCCAATCTGAACCAATCTGAACCCAATCTGAACCCAATCTAAACCAATGTGAACCCAATCTGAACCCAATCTAAACCAATGTGAACCCAATCTAAACCCAATCTGAACCAATCTGAACCCAATCTGAACCCAATCTGAACCCAATCTGAACCCAATCTAAACCAATGTGAACCCAATCTGAACCCAATCTAAACCAATGTGAACCCAATCTAAACCCAATCTGAACCAATCTGAACCCAATCTGAACCCAATCTGAACCAATCTGAACCCAATCTAAACCAATGTGAACCCAATCTGAACCCAACCTGAACCCAATCTGAACCAATCTGAACCCAATCTGAACCCAATCTAAACCAATGTGAACCCAATCTGAACCGAATCTGAACCCAATCTGAACCAATCTGAACCCAATCTGAACCAATGTGAACCCAATCTGAACCCAATCTGAACCCAATCTGAACCCAATCTGAACCCCAACATGATGTTGAACAGTTTGTCCACCAGGTGTCGCCAAAGAGACACAATAACACAGTTACTTTGGCAGATTAAAACATTAAAGCAGCTCGTTTATTTATTCTAAAAACCAAATTTAGCAATTTGTGTTTTATAATTTCACTCTTTAAATTGTCTCGTTTCTCTCTTTAAGCTTGAAGGTGTGTAGTTCACTCTTTTCGCCACCAGATGGCAGCAGATAATTACATCTGATTCTGAATCTTTAACTCTGGTCTGATTATGGATTTATGTCTGTCTCTGTTTGCCCTGAACGTTTTTATTGGTTTGTTTTATATGAATGATAAATAAAATCAAATGAAAAACAGAAATGTGTCTGGATCATCCGTCTCTGTTGCCTCAGGTTTGAAATGTCTTTCTCTCCTCTGGACGGTTTATCAGAGCAGAACCTTTCAGCACATTGTGGTCCAAAGTGTCTTCCTGTCTTTATAAAACTAAAACTTTATCTTTCTGTCGAAGTGACTCAAACTTTCTGTTTGTGTGTTGTAAGCAGCAGACTGATGTGGGAAAAAAATCTGGTCCTGTCAAAGTAAACGCACAGTTCCTGGTCACCACAGAGATTCCCATAAGTTTCTGTTTGGTGTAAAATGTAGCTGATTTATGGTTTAGAAAAGTCAGAACCAACAGTTTTCAGAGCAACCAGACCAAATAAAACAGATTTTTAGGGACAACAGAAAGCTGCTGGTTCTGTCCCGGTTCTGGTTCCGTCTGTTCCTGCAGGTTTTAGCTGCAGGACGGAGGTCCAGTCGACTGGAGGCCCCAAAAATCTCTCATCACTTTTTAATGGAGGGAAATCTTATCCAGCCGTTCCCTGGAGGAGCCGGAGGGAAGGAGTGTGTTGTTATTCCAGCAATATATCAGGAAAACAGAAACATGCATGAATTCAGCAGCTAACAGAATCACACGTCACCCAGCTCCCAGCAGGATCTCCGTTAATAATCTGAATAGTGTGGCAGGCATTTAGATTAAAACTTCAACACAGATGTTGAACTTTATTCAACTGAAAATTTACAAAACAGCCCAGAAAAGTAATTTAGGGGAAGGTGAGAGCACTAAATGGTTTCAGAGTTAGCTAATTAAATTAGCTCTAGCATTATTGGATAGCAGAAATGTTCCCACTGAGTTCCCACTGAGTTCCCACTGAGTTCCCACTGAGTTCCCACTGAGTTCCCACTATAAATATTGTTCTTGTTTTATTTCAGTCTCTCCAGAAGCTCCATCATCTGAGGTCAGAAAGCAGAAACTGTCTCACTAACTGGAGCTGCGGATAATTAGGTAATGAGTGTGTGTGTGTGTGTGTGTGTGTGTGTGTGTGTGTGTGTGTGTGTGTGTGTGTGTGTGTGTGTGTGTGTGTGTGAGACCTCCTGGGACAGGAAAGGGAAGAGATGACCATTTCCTGCTGCAGCAAGAAAATAAAACAAACAGGAAACAAGGAGCAGAGCTCAGAGGGAGCAGAACCAGGAGGAGACGAGGCTTTGGACCAGCGGAGCTGCAGAACCAGGAGAACCCAGCAGAACCAGGAGAACCCAGCAGAACCAGGAGAACCCAGCAGAACCAGGAGAACCCAGTGGAAGCAGCTGAAGGATCTGGTGTTCTGGGGCGTTTGAGGAGGGAACCGGGTTTGGATCCGGGAGGATCATCAGGGGGAACCAGAACCAGAGATGTCCTCCACCTGACTGGATTTCTCTTAGAGAAAAGGTAAGAGCCGCAGCTTCGGGTCGGGTTGTGTTGGTTCTGTTCGGTTCATGACAGGCGGGTTTAAACCATCAGAACCAGAACCTGCAGCTGTTGGACATAGTGAGCCCAGCTGCTGGCGGATCAGAACCAGCAGGATCAGTGTTTTATGGCTCCAGCATGTTGATAATGTTTATTGATTATCGTCAAGTTTCTTTGATTTTCCATCAGATCGTTATTTATTGGTGAAAACTCACCTGGTTGAAAAACAAATCAAAGTCCTCTGACAGGTGATGGAGATCATCAGTAGGACGCGACGGGGTCACAGAGGGGTCATGGAGGGGTTTTCAGATTTCTGCTGTTTTTTTCACAAGTTGAATAAAAATAAAAACCTGTTTTAAATTCTGATCCGTGTTCGGAAAAGCCCGTCCCGACCTGACTGGTCTGTGGAAAGGATTCAACCCGTTCCTCCTCTGCGGCGGCTAGCAGCTAACGGGTCATTAGCATCGCTGTGGATGAACTTTGACCTGCTCTGCATTTCTGAGTTGGTTTCTTTCAGAGACATTGGAAGATTTCCCAGCAGGTTAAAGGTCATTCACAGGAACTGTGAATGACTTAAATCCAGACTTTGACTAGGCCACTCCAAACATTCAAGCGGACTTGCTGTTTGTGTTTTGGTTCTGCTGAGAGGCGTCCAGGTCCACCTATTAGCTTCCTAAGAAGCTAATAGGTTAGCCAAGAGGTTAGCTTAGATTCTCTTAGCTTAGCTTCTCTTAGCATGTTAGCTTCCTGCTAAGAGGTTAGCAGGAAGCTAACATGGTTCCTGCTAACTTGTGTGTTGTAAGTGGCATTTAGCTGAAGCTAATGCTAAAGCTAAAGTGCTAACATCAGTTCTATCTGGATTAAAAGACTTGAACTCTGAAGCTCCAGATTCATTTTAAAGTCATCATTTTGTTGAAACCTTAGATATTCTATAAAATGTTTAGATCTTTATTTTGCTCCTGCTTGTTTCTTGTTTTAGATAAAAACATCTAAATATTTGAAGAATTCATAAGTTTCTCACCAAAACTTCAACCAGATGTCGAACTTTATCCAGACGCTGCATTTTCACCAATCAGCCCAGATAATTAGAATTTATCTTGAAATATTAAATAAACGGATGCTAACGTGAAAAATTAGCTTCTCTGGATTAGCAGTAGGTGCTTCTCTGCTGGTCGTCTTCCAGACGTCGGCTGGCGTCTCATCAGAACTTCATGACGGATGGATAACGTGATTCGGGCCTTCGTGTTCTGTCGGGTCGGCTCTGGTTCTGGATCACACTCGGCAGTTTGTTTCTGGATCCTTACTTCCGTCCCGATCTGGCAACCAGATGAAGTTCTGTGAAACGGACGATAAATGATGATATTTTGGTTTCCAGTCTGCCAGCTGGAATGTTGCTTCCTGGCAACTGGGATCCGTTCAGCTGTTGGACTCGGGTCAGAACTTTAGTTTCTCCTTGAGGAGATTGAAAACGATGGGAGCCTGCAGAGCAGCTCAGACGTTGTGTGGAGATGTTTGGCTGAGTGAGTCATCGGTTCTTCTATCTCCTCTGAGCCGCGTTTCCTCCTTCCTGACCAGTTTTCCTTCAGACTCCGAGAGTCTGAGGAGGAAACCGACTCGTTTTAGATGCTTTCCTTCCCAGCTGGCAGGTGGAGAATCTTCTGCTGACGCATTTATGGCTCAGCTTTCTTCTGATCTAAAAACAAACCTCCTTCCTTCTGAATCTGCTGGATATTTTTCAACTAATGATCAAATGAATCCAGGGATGGTTGTTAAAAGCAGAAACTCTTTTTTCATGAAGCGTTCCTGATCAAACTTTGGGCTCTTCCTCTGAGCCGCCCTGTTGTGAAACAAGGATGAAGCGAAATAAAAGCAGCTCTCAGCCCTTTGACTGTAAGAACTTCTCCTTTTGTGACCCACTGACCCGATTCAACCCTCAAAAACACCTTTTAATAACTGTGACCCACTGACTCAGCAGCTCAGTTTTCCTCTTTCAGCAGCAGTTTGACTTCAGATCATCAGGAAGTTTAACCTGAAATCTGAAAATGCAGTTTCAAACTGCATTAAACTGATTCGATATCTTTCATTTGTAAAATACAGTCGTTACTCAAAGCTGCTCCAACACATCAGGGCTGCGTGTCAGGACTCCTGCTCTCTCACTGACATGGAGTCACTTTATCAGCTGATTTACTCATAATGACGGGTTTTATTCAGCCCAAACAGAACCTCCGTTTATTGATGTTCAGAAGCTGCAGAATCACTGCCTGGAAGGAGAAGAACAGCTGACCTCTGACCTTTCCTCTGCTGACTCTTTTAAACAAAACTACAAGATTTTTCAGTCATTTCTGTTGTTTTGTCTTGTTGCAGCTCAAACTTTACTCTGCCAGAGCAGCGCCACCTGGTGGCAGCATGGAGGATGCTTCCTCTGAGGGGTCGGTCTACCGGTGACCTCCATGACCCCAGAGGTCAACCGGTCCAGGTTCAGCAGAGGGGCGGATATCAGCCCCTCTGCTGTCAGTAGGGACATTATTAATGTCCAGAACCGGAGTCTGGCGGTTCTGGACGACCCGAGTGGATCTCAGGGATGAAAATAACCTGAAGATGTTTCATTTATCTGCAACCTAAAACGTTTTATCTGTTTTTGGGCAATCAGACACGTTCCCAGGGTTCATCAGAAACAGCCTTTAAGAAGTGAACAGAACCGGAACCAGAGGTGGTTCTGCTAGCTAAAGACTAACTCGGCTAAGCTAACAATAGCTATGCTAACGCCTTAGCGCTGGGACAACAGAATAACTTGCTGCTCTGCATCAGAGCTGGACAGGAAGCTGAGCTGAACCAGGAACACAAAGGTCAAAGGTCATGTCGGGGTAACTGTTTAATTTACCAAAGTGAATGAAAGTCAATATAAAGTCCTGATCTGGGTGTGAACAGCGTCCTGTTGCTCAACGAGGCTCTGATTCCTCTGGTAGACTCTGACGATTCCATTCGATTCGATTCGATTCGATTCACTGCAGTGCAGAAACATTCCTGATCCTTCCACAGCAGATTCACCAGGACGAGGTTTTTAACGAGGCACCAAAAAACAGGGAAATATTTAGCATGTGTTAGCAACATGCTAATGAGAGCAGAATTAGCAACATGCTAACCAGAGCAGAATTAGTAACTGATTATAAAGAACAAATTATTTTATCTATATTTAATTCAGCGACTCTGATTGGCCAGATATTCATTAAATTTGCCTAGCAACAAGACATCATTCGCTGTTGACTCGCACAGCAGGAGAGAAATTCACTGTTCAGAGGCTCAGTTGGTGAAAATATGTGTAAATATTCAGATTAAATAATGTTTCTATTATAAATCGTATGGATCAGCTGCCACTTTAAGCTTTAATTCAACTTTAAAGCTGCAAATGTAAAAAATGAAATTAGTTGAATAAGGAACTAATTAACTCTGGTTTCTGTGGCAACGCATAGCGGCATAAGGAACTACTGATACCAGTTCTGCGGGGCCCGGCCCCCAGCTGGCCCCCATCCAGAGCCGCCCATGCTTCACACAAATCTTAACATTTTGGTTATTATTATTATTAAAAGCCTCATTTTACAGTTTTCAGTCCAGAAGTGAAACATTTCCAGAGTTCGGGTTGAAAATGTTCAAAACAAACATTAATTCCTCATAAAAAAATATTTATTTCTGTATAATCAGCTGTTGGAGAACACTTCAGGGACCGTAGGAAATCTGAGAACCAGCTGCTAACTGCTGCATTTAAAAGCTCGGAAAACATTCTGGTTCTGGTTGCTTTTGGGTCGCCTGATGCAGTAAACACACAAACACGTCATTTCCTGTCACTCTGTGGATCTGTTACCGTGACAACAAGCTTTTAATTCAGGAAAGTCGCTATAAAGAAGAAAAATCAAATTTGATCTGAAAACAGTTTCGATCTGATCTGAAGTGTTTTTATAGTTGGTGGGTTGAACCTGCAGCATGACCACTTCAGGCTCTCTGGGCTCCAGCGGAGCTTCAAGCAACAGCATTGATGTTTTGTCCGAGTGTCCCTGAACGCCCCTCCGGGTCTCCAGCGGTTGCGCGCATTAGAGGCGCAGTGAGCGCAGCAGCTGCGGGACTCAGACCCGGTCGAGCTGCGGGTTTCTGCTGACTCCCTCTGCCGCCGCCAGCCGGACCGAACCGAACCCCGGGCCGAACCGAACCGAACCGCCAACATGTCCGCCACCAGTAAGTGGAGAAACAACAGGAATCTGTTTTAAACTTCACTGAAGCAGTTTTGCAGATTTTTCTCAGAAAATTTCAAGTTGCTAAATATGAACAAAACCAACAAATGTCCAGAATTTTCCAGGTGATTTGAGGATGTAAAATAATGAATTGTGCTGGTTCTGCTGGTTCTGACGGGCTGGTGTTCTGGATCTCTGCAGATCATTGAGTTTCTTCTCTGAACTTTCAGGGACTTTTTTCCTCTTTTGGTCTCTAAATGACTTTGATTTCACATTGAAATCAGTTTGAGGTCGCAGGTTGAGTCACTGATTAACCGGCAGGTTGAGTCATTTATTCACCTGCATCATTTCATTTAATCCCAAAGGAAATTCAGATTTTACTGCAGATCAAACTGATAAACCACTTTTATGAATTCATTTTCTCATATAAGATTTAACTTGCAGAAAGATATTTAAAGGTGCTGCTCACGCCTCACACTGCCATCTAGTGGTCCGGTTTGGGACAACAGGAAGCCTGAGATTAAACCTGCAATGACTCAAAGGACAAATTTAGTAAAAAAATGTTGATTGATTAATAAATATTTCTTCAGGTCGCTGTTTTTGTCCAGAGGCTCTAGCGCCTCCTACTGTCTGTCTGTGCAGATGAATATTCAATCAGGCGTCTGAAAATGAAAAAATGACAAAGAAAGAAAAGTTTGGCGCTTCCTGTGAAACCGTCTCAGTGGCATTTTGACTGATTTCTAAAGGTTTCATACATTT